CCCACCATTTGGTTCCCCAGGCTTGCCCTAACCCCATCATTGATGGTCGTGTTTTTGCTTGTGCACAGCTAGCAACTGCTGTGTGAGCTGAGTATAGCTTTGATTGTTTTATTATAATTGTTCCTATTTTATTACAATTCATTATTATTATTATTATTATTATTATTAGGTTTATTTGAATAATTGTATTGTCCTTATCTCAACTCAAGAGTGTTTGGACCTTTTTTCACAGAATCATAGAATGGTTTGGGTTAGAAGGGACCTTAAAGCTCATCCAGTCCAACCCCTGCCATGGGCAGGGACACCTCCCACCAGACCAGGCTGCTCAAACCCTGGTACAACCTGGCCTTGAACACTTCCAGGGAGGGAGCATCCACAACTTCTTTGGGCAACCTGTGCCAGTGTCTCACCACCCTCACGGTAAAGAATTTCTTCCTAATACCTGATCTAAATCTACCCTCTTCCAGTATGAAACCATTACCCTTTGTCCTATCACTACATAGCCCTGTAGAAAGTCCCTCTCCAGATTTCTTGTAGGCCCCCTTCAGGTACTGAAAGGCTGCTATAAGGTCTTGCCAGAGCCTTCTCCTTGTCAGGCTGAACAACCCCAGATCTGTCAGCCTGTCCTCACAGGAGATATGCTCCAGCCCTGTGATCATTTCTGTGGCCCTGTTCTGGACTTGCTTCAAGAGGTCCATGTCCCTCTTGTGTTGGGGGTCCCAGGAGAATGGAGTAGAGGGGCAGAAACACCTCTCTCAACCTGCTGGCCACACTTCTTTTGGTGCAGCCCAGAACACGATTTTCCCTCCAATTCTCTCCCCCACCCCACTGGGGAGGGGGGGCAGCGAGCGAGTGACCATGCAGTGTTCAGCTGCTTGCCGGATTAAATCACGGCTACAGCACAGAAAGGAGGCTGGACCTGTACCCAGGGCAGGCAGGGAGAGCTGCCTCTGTGAAGTGCCTGTGCTTGTGATGGGACCCGTATCCAAGTCCAGGAGGTCCTTTCTCTTGGTCAGCGCTGGAAACACAGACAGGGATGAAGCTACTGTACAAAATGGGCCACATCTTGGTAATATCAACCTGATTATACCTTTGTATATTATAGGATTTCTCCTGCTCTATCCATAGTCTTTGTCTTGCTACAAACACTTATTAAGAAGCTCACTAAATCCCTCTGGATTTTTGTATCCAACCTTTTTAGAAAAATACTCTTTTCTGGTCTCCAAGTTATTCCAGTGATTTACCTGACTATGCTATACCTGACATAGCCTGCATTGATGGACAAAATAAGCTATTTTTCTGCATACTGTGGTTTCAATCTCCTGAGCTCTTCACAGTCTTGCCTCTGCAAACTGACTCTTGCTCTAAAGTTTTCTCTTTGCGCTGCCTAAGTTATTCTTTCTGGGACTCTTGCCTGCTGCTGCTTCTGTTGCTGTTAAATTATACCACTCTGTTCTTTCTTCTGTTTTCTGGGTCATGTCTGCATCTCTTCAGGATATGGCAACAACCAGCAAATCACTTCTTTTTAAGGAAAGATGAGAAATCAAAGAAATTAAGAAAAAAAGAAAAGAGGACTGACCCACTTCCTGCTTTACCTTACTGCTTCTTTCCTTTCATCAAGAGAAAGGATGCAATGGAGCCATGAACAAAACTTCACAGTTCTTCTTTTCCTTTTTCCTGATTAAGCTGCAAGTGTGACTGGGTACTAAGCCAGTATAAATCAGCTGTAAATAGGGGTATAAAACTGCTGAGGCTTAGCTCAGTCAGTTTACATCCTATGTAAAGCAAATCGTGTTTGCAGGCAGGACCTGTGTTGCTTCGTCTTCTGTGGAGGATAAGCTCCCAAGCTCGATGTGTCCTCTCCCCTCCCTCCAAGGGTGCTGGTGCTGCTGTTTGGCACCGCCTTCCCCTGGCCCCAGCTGTGGTGGCAAAGGGCGTATTGGAAAGGCTGGGGAGAGCAGCATTTCCTTCTGTTTTCTCTTTGCAGTGGGCTTGGAAACAGATGGCCTGGGTGCAGGGCAGAGCCTGTTTCAAATGTGCAGCAGCTTTGCTGGTAGGTGCTGGAACCATCTGTCTCTGGTCTCCAGCATGTGCTGTCCCCAGTGTGCCGGCAGCGACTGGGCACCTCAGCTTTCCCAGAGCCAGCCGGTCCTGGAGGGCAGGGCCAGTCCCCCCAGGCTGGAGGGCTTTTCTGGGTCGCAGCCTTGTGGAGCCTCTTTGATGTTACGCTGTACAGAGAAACGTGTGTGGTGCTCTGGAGTCAGGAAAAGGCAAGAAAGGTGGGGGCTTTTTCTTTGGGGCTTTTCTTGAGAGAGAGGCAAATGGTCATACACAGACCTGTCTCCAGTGAGCAGACGGGAATTGATGGGGTGTGCCCCAGTTTAGACACACTGCATGGAGGGGGAGAGACAGCCCTGGCCGATCTGTTGCAAATAAAATGACCAACTTGTAAGTTAACTCCTAGGAACACAGTATCCAAACAGAACTGCTATTTCACTGGGGATCCTGAGCAAATTGATGATTTACTGCTCCTCCCACTTTCCCAGGATTACAAATCAAGAGTGGGAATAGGGCCTTTATCTCATTTATTACTCTTGAACAGTGGGCATATTTTCTTCTGAGCTTTTGATGTAAGGTGCATTTATAACGTACAGTGGAAGCAAAATTGTAGTGCTCAGACAAAATGCTTGTTTGCTGAATTAAAACGCAGGCTGCAGTCTCAGAGCTGTAGTGTGAGGAAGGCTTTTCATGCTCCACTTGCTCTTGGAGCTTTACTCTTCTTTCCAGAAGCCATAAGCCAGAGCTGACTGGGCATTTCCTAGTACACCAGCCAGAGTGCCACTCCTCCATGGAGCTTTTCTATTAAAAATTGTCTCCTGGTTTCAGTGGCAGTCCTTCTGCTTTCTTCTGTGCCTCCTTGCCTTTGGAAGACTGTGGATGTCGTCATATGTCTTAATTTAATCAGCTGGTTAAGTGCCAAATACCTCCCAAGGTGAAAAATAAGGTGCTTTTGCCCATAGTGGAGCAATGGTCCTGTCACATAATGAGCCGAGTCAGCATGAGGAGAAAAAATTATATCCCTCTTCAGCCTGTCAGCCACGTTATCCTTCTGCACACTGACACGTTCACTGAGCTCGGGCTGGCTCACGTGTAATGGCCTTTATGTGAGGCTGGGAAATAATGGGTTTGCGTTTTATTGTATTCTCCTCTCTCCCAGATCACGTGAGGAGGGGTTGAGTGTGTACCCAGCCTGGCTGTGGCTACAGAGCTGAGATGCGAAAGCTGATCCGCAGAGCATTGCTAGTGTGGCAGCACCACAGCTCCGTTGGCACTGGCATCAGCCCTGCCCAGCATTGGCTGCCAGTGTGAGGGCCTGGGAATGTGGGGTGCTGATGGTGCGGGCACTTCTGCCAGTGACCCTTCTGCAAAGGGGCTGCTGTCAGCCTTCAGTGTCCTCGTATCGACTAAGCTTTATGTTTAAAATGTGCCAAGATAAAGAACCAGAAGGTTGGTTCTGTGCTGTTGGGGTGGAGGTGACAGGGCAGCACTGGGGGCTGGATCCTCTGGGCCATTCCCTGCTCAGGGCTTTGCAGCAGCCCACAGGGGAAAAAGGGAAGAGAAATGACAGTGCTGTGCTTTAAAGCGACTTTGCCTGCTTGGCATTTTCATTTCTTTTATTTGGGTTTTTTTTAACAATATATCTCAGTTGCTGCAAGGGGAATTTTCTTTCCCTGGCTGCTTTCAGGAGAACACATCTTTTTCCTCTGTACCCCACAATACTTTGGGCCTCTTTCCAAAGTATTTTCCCCTGATGTCCCCTGTCCCTTTCCTGTCCAAGATAGGAGGGTTTCCCTGAAGCTGGCCAAAGGCTGATGGCAGCTTGGTGAGCAGATTGTGCATCTGTGCTGCGTTGGTGCAGGAGAACAAAGTTGGATCAACACCCTGGCTCCTTCTGAAGGACTTGGAAGCCTAGAGCTGCCTGTGAAGGATAAAGGATACCCTTGGACAACCAAGATAATGCCAGCATCCCAGTTCCTCTAACGCATCTTTGAACCCTCTCAGCATCATCTGGCATCAAAGATAAGTGACTATAGCAAGTCTGACTGTAGGGGCATCTGGATCACTAGACAAACAGCAAAAATATAGTTGCTTTGCTAAGTTTTTTGCTCTGATTAGTAATGAGTAGTGCGGTTAATAGTGATTAGTCAAATTGTGCTGTACCTGAATGTTTTGGTGGGTATAGGAACCCTGTATAAGAATCACATTAGTGCCTTGATTTGGCTGGGACAATTTTCGTGACAGTCCTTACCTTTCCTGGGGACTTGCACAGACAGTGACAATGTAGATGGGTGCCTGTGATGCTGGTGGCATCCAGAGTCTGCCCTAATCCTGCCAGCCCCAGACATAAGGTAGCAAACCTCAACATGACCATGTACCCAGACTATGTGGGGCTGCATCCCCCCAGCCCTGTGAGGCAACGGCATCCAGGACCGCATGGATGCCAGGCATCTCTCACCCACCGTGACACTTCAGACACCCTATCCAGGCCAAAAAAAAGCTGTGACCGCAGAGGTTGGTTGGGAGATGCGCTGGCTCCTGGGGCTGTTTGCAACTCTCAAAGCCCTGTTAGCAGCCTCACGGGCAGAAAAGAGTGTCCAAGAGGCACGGCGCTCCAGCACTCTCTTTCCTGCCCCTGAGGCTGCTGCAGGATTTTGAGAACTGCTGGGTGCCTGCAGCTAATCTCGCTTTCAGGAGAGGCAGCGAGGAGCAACAGCACCGATTTATTCCCTTACACCAAGTGTGAGCTCAGCCGCCGTTGCCTGTGCAGCGTCTATGGATGTGCCCAACCCCTCCTTCACTCGGCGGCGCCGGCTGGAGTACCTGCCGCTCTTCAAACGTCACCGGGCTCCGCTTATAAAGCGCAGGCGATAGAGCATCTCCTCGGCTCCATCTCTCCGAGAGGCACATCTTCGAGAAGCGACCTGTGCGCGGGCAGAAAGATGTTTTATTCGGGTATCCTGACAGAGCCGAGTAGAAAAGAAGTGGAGATCAGGGAAGCAGCATCTCTCCGCCAGCAGAGGAGGATGAAGCAGGCAGTTCAGTTTATTCACAAGGATTCTGCAGATCTCCTCCCTCTGGATGGGCTGAAGAAGCTGGGGACTTCAAAAGATACTGTAAGGCTTTATTGTGTTTACTGGAAGAAGACTTAAAAAGCTGGTAGGGCAGTGTCTATTTTATTATTTTCTTTATGCCATTTTTTGTTAGGAGGAGAAGTTGGTTGGTTGTGGAAATTGGTATAAAAATAAGGCTTTTGCATGTGAAAGGAAGGGAGTGGAAGTACAATGCTAGTTATCACCAGGGTAGCTTTTAGCTCATAGGTGATTGCAGATGTCTGGCACTTGGATCTAAAAGCTTTTTTTTTTTTGTCTTCCTTTTTTTTTTCATTTGTACGAATGTCAGATAAAAAGGATACTGTTTTGAGTACATAAATCCTCCCTGAATCAATCAAAATGGCTTCATATAATACATACATGTATACACATATGGTTGTGATGCATATATACGCACGACATAAAAGATTTGGTAAAGTGCAGTCATTAGTACTTCAAAATATAAAACTGCCAAGATTACACTTTGATAACAGCTTATGCCTATATTTTTTAAATGAAGATGGATAATTTTAGGTTTAAATATTTATGTATGCAATGATCCATGTGATCCCATAGCTGAAATACAACATCCTCCATAATGTCCAGGAGCTGGACAGCATTTCTAAATACTGATGTGCACAAATGTTTAAGCTTTCTCTAATGAGAAATAATACTTAAATGTAATATCAAAAGTTCTGATGTAAGGAGCAAAATCTAGAAAATATATCCTACCAAGGAAAGCTCCTTTACTTCTTTTTTTTTTTTCCCCAATTGTTGCTAAACTCTTGCACCTCGTAACACACAATATTTGTTTTTTTCAATACTTGTTACAGATGCGTTGAAAAAGGTGAATATTTTTAGTTTTAGTGGGGTAGTTTTGTTCTGTCACAGCCTTCCTGCTCAGCTGGGTTAGTCTTGCCTCTGCCTGGCTGAGATAAGTGGAACGAGTTGGCTATTCTTTGCAGTGCGCATGGAGGTGATGTTTTTGACATCCCAAGTGTTTTGCACTTGGAACAGCTTGAAAGGAGCTTTCCTGTGCACCATGGAGCTGTGACTCTCCCTCAAGGGGTTACAAAGTGCCTTTCAGAGCATGGTGGTGGTGTTGTTACTATTATCTGCAGAGTCTAAATACCATGGCATGGCTCAGTGACCCACAGCATGCTGGGAGAGGAAACAGGCAGCAGGAGCCAGAGGCACTGAGCACTCAAGTCCTTGATGCCACAGCAGTGAGGACCTGGTCTGGCACCGGTGCCAGGGGCAGAGTATGGGGCTCCTTGCTGTGGCCCTGGTCACAGAAACATCGCCCGAGGTTTGCTCCCTGCTCCTGTGCCTGCCCCAGCTGAGCCGTGGCTGCGGTGTTGCCCCTGCTGCACCCATAGTCCCTGCAAGCATGGTCCATGTGAGGGGCTCTCTCAGGGGATGTGCCAGAGCCCTGGGGTGGTCCACAGCTTCTCATCCCCTTGAAGGATGAAAACGGGGTGCAGTGTGGTGGAGGCATGCTACTCTGGCTGTGCTGGGTCTCCCGCTGGGGATGGGGTGAGAGCCAAGCTGGTGTGGGCCACCCCACTGCAAAACCACCTTGTCCCCATGCCACAGCGAGGGATGATTGGGCAGTGGGCACATGCGGCATGAGCTCAGCACAAACACAGCCTCCTGATGTATGGGCAGCCCCCAAAGCGACAGCACTGGCACGTGCTCAGGCTCGCTTCCACAGCCCCAGAGAAGATGCTATGTCACTCTGCTGCCATGAATTTCAGAGCTGTTGCAGTGGATTTTGTTGCAGCGAAGCAACACTCCTGGCGCTGTCACACGCTGCACACGACGGAGAAGGCAGTGAGCATTGCTTCAAGAAGACCCACTGTGTCTCCCTGGTGGCATGGCTGCCTGGATGTCACAAGAGTTGTTCCTAGGAGGAGCAAGAGATCATGCATCTCTGAGATTGGAGGAGCACCAAGAGCCTCCAAAGTAAAGGGCTTCAGTAAGAGATCTGGGGCCAGAGGGGTTGAGCTGCGTGGTTGGGGTGCCCAGGGTATCAGGGGTTCTTGCCCTGGCTGTTCAAGCGCCTTTCTTGTGAATAGCTGCACACCTCCTAACAAAGCAGCACATTTTTGTGTCTAAAGCTGCGTGACAGCTGTGGTGACGTGGATGGAAGGGCTTGTGACGTGACTGGTATTATTAATGCAGGGTTTTCCATGAGGGTTTTCAGCGGCCTCAGCAGGAGAAGAGAGGAGGTAACAGCTCCCTGGAGGATAGGTGGGGAGGACCCTGTCTGTCAGTGTGACAGCTGGCAGTGACCACTCCGATTTCAGGGAGAAATCCCCTTCCTTTTGGCCACAGTGCAGGGGGCGCTTCACACAGCGAGACAGCAGCAGGTCACTGGGGCGGGTGTGCTGGCATCCCCCAGCTTGTGTGTGGTTACTCAGCTCTAGAAGCCTCTTTTCTGGTGATGCAGGTTTGATAGATGCTTGTAATTATGTTAAACCTCCAGTATTTTTCAATGTATTATTCTGGGTTGGACCAAACTCTTCTAGCTCCTCGCTCCCTTTACATATCCTGTTTTGTTTGCATGGTATAAGACCAAACTGTAGGTTAGCATAGACTGGGTTTGGCAAATATAGGGCTGGATATACAGTTATGAGCAGAAATGGTTTTGATTTGATGCCTTGCTATTAGCCTCCTCCCTGAAACCCAGAAGACTGGCATGAGAAGGTCATTACCTGGGACTGGGGCCTCCCGACACCACAGCCGTGACCTGCTGCCTGACTTGGGCAGGGTGTGCTGCCCCTCAGCAGCTCCTCCTGAGGCTCTGACACTTTGTCCTTGCCCCGGGAGCCGTCTGCTACAGCACCACTCTTGCCATGGGTCAATCTGTGAGGGTGTAGTGGCAGAGCCGTGTTTCGCAGTGTGTATGGGGACAGTGGTGGACACAGGGCTGTGGTCACATCTGGGGCCAGTTTAGAGGAGCTTTGCCTGAAACAGTCCCACATCACTTTACAAAATGGGAAAAAAAGTTACAAAATAGTAATGAACAACAACAAAACCCCAACATTTTCCCCTCCCAAAATGCCTTCAGAGCCTCCCCTGGGTGCTCTTGGCCACAGTGCAGCCCTGAGCATCCCCACAGTCCTACTCCCTGCTCCTGTGACTGGTGTAACGTCCCAGTTAACTGCAGTGCAGTTTTCCCCACTTCCCCACTCTGCACTCCCCGAGTTTGTTGTGCCTTGGTTAAGATGCAAAAAATTTGGCTGTTCTGTGCACTGTCTTGGTCAGAGGCCTGGCCGCTACCTGGGAGGCACAGGAGAGCAGGGGGCATCTCTTGTCCCACCTCATCCCCCTGCAAGAGGTGCTGGCAGCATGTGAACACAGGCTGCTGGTAGAAGAGGTGAATTTGGATGAAGAATAGGAAGTGGGAGAAATTGATGATTTCTTGGGATGAGCTCTGTTGATGTGTTAAAAATCCCTTTTTTCTACTGTCTAGGTAGAGAAGAGAGGGCAAACCTCCTGAAGTGGGTTTGGGGAAGGGAGGAGCTGGCATCTTCCCTGACTTTCATCTCTACCTGTGTGAAACTTGTTGACGGGTCTCATTATCCCCAGGTCTGGAAGCCAAAATAGTGGCAAAACCTGCCAGAGAGACGCATGCTGCAAGCTGCAGAGACGCACTGGTTTACAAATCAGAGATGTGCAAAACAGGACAGAGTTATGTGTAGCTTTGACACAGTGGTAAATGGGTTCAGCAATACCTGTCTCCACTTAGTTCTTTTACATTCCTACTGTGACTTTTTAGGGGATTTTATGTTTTTTGCAAGGTCTCAGCTGTGGAAAGGGAGATACTTTATGAAAAAAATCCTGGTTTGTATTTATATTGTGCTGAACACTACTAGAAAATAACTTATTTTTTTGCACTTATACAATAGTTTTAACATTTTAATCAGTTATAAAACATCAAATTTGGCAGCACCAAATAACCTGGGTTACTTCAAACACTGGTCCTTTGTGTCCTCCAGCTGGACCACGCTGGAGGCAGAACACTGCTGCCTTCCCCATTGCTGTCACGGGGAGGATTTCCTGCTCTCCCTTCTAGAAATGGTGTGCTTGCCATTTTCTATCAAAATGCACATTTTCAAATGTCTCCTGGCACATTATCTGTTTACCATGTACCTATCCATCATCTCTGTGACCAACATCCCTCACTCTGTTGCACACAGTAGTCAAGGGAAATACAAGTTAAAGCAAAACTAATTAATAGCCCGAGACAGGATGGTGCTGCAGGGAACATTTTCAGCCCCCTCTTGCTAGATTATTTCTGTATTGGAGCGCAACACAAGCAACATTTGTCCCACCAAAGGCAGGATTCACTGCAGCTTTCAGAAGAGCAAGTGTCAACGAAAGACGGTCCCGTTTGTGGTGATAACTCGCGTTCACTGAATGTCAGATTATTTCCTTTTGGTTATCGATCCCGTATAGGATTTCTGAAACCAGGCCCTGAGAAAACCCACATCTATAACTGGTTAACAATCCATAGGAGAATTTCTAGTTAAAAAAAATTTGGTTTAAATCAAGGGTAGATGGCAGTTAAAATAATAGCAATGATGAGTGTGCTGGTGACTTGTTCTTCTCCAGCCTGTTCTTTCAGAGGTATTTGGCAATGTGATTGAGGCCAGCTGGAACAGAAGAGCACCCAGACTGTCCTGGATGACGCCATTCCGAAATTTTTTAGGGCTAGCTGAGTGGCGCTGGGTGTAAGGAGGTGACCACTGTGTGACAGGCTGTCTTCTGGACAGCTGGGAACCTCACCCATTCATTTCTCCAGCCTCCCGCCTTAATTTTTTGGATGATGTGAAGAACTAGTTCTCAGGATTTGTGTCTGAGTTGTAGGCAAACAGAAAGGGTAAGAAAGATGTGCCATCTACTGTCAGCAAACCCAAGAAGCCTTCAAGGTGACCACAGTGCTGACTGTGCACTTGCGCCTTCAGTCTCATGTAATGGAGCATTTGCTTCCAAACTGCTCTGCTCGTCCCTCAGCACAAGGTCCATTACCAGGAGCACCAGCCTGCCTGCCTACGATCTAGTGAAGCAATGCTGGTTTCTGCAGTTCAGCCTCTTAGGGAAGGCAGTGGTCACCGGAGCAGCACTGGAGCTTTGTTACTTTTTTGTGTGAAGGAGACAGTGCAATGCCGGATCTGATTTCTCTTTGTTGCTGGGAGCATGGCTACGTTATCACCTTTACACAGGACATGTTCTCTAGTGTGCTGGTCAGACTTGGCACCTGCAACTGAAAATGGTAATGAAATTGTATTTTCTCTCAAGCCGCAGGTTGTCTGCAGCAGGAAGAACAGTGAAAACTGGAGAAAAAAGGAGATTACGTATCCCAGTGACCACTGGTGTTGGCTGCATCTACCCAATCATATCAGTCAGGTCCAGTTTAACTGCCCATGTTACGCCTACAGCAGGATCTAAAACCCTAATGGGGCTGCAGTTATTTTAGGATGATGCCAAGTTGCATTAGCCTTTTGTAAGTTCTGTTATTTAATGCTGCAGAGACTATTTTAAAGATGAGGCACTGCGCACGAGGTTTAGTGCTGGCTTACTCATGGAACCATGGCCTGAGGTTTTCAAAATTATTCTGATCCCATTGAAATTCCCTTGGGATGAGGAGCTTTTCTGGTTTCAATGTCTCTGAAGACACACAGGCATATTTAATATCAATGCAAAAATTCAGGAATAAGCCAGTAAGGTCTCACTGTGGACATGTTAAAAGCAGAAGGCAAGGGCAGTAATGAGGAGGGAGATTAGTCAGGCAGAGAAACGAGCAGATAATCAAGCAGAGTCATTTCACCTCCAGCAGAGTATGTGCATCCATCCGTGATGAACATTAAACATAAAATGGCTTTTGGGAAAGCGGTTGGAGATGATTTTTGAGAGGCAACATGCTTCTCGCAGGGCAAATGGAAATAACAGAGAAAGCGAGCAGCCACCATACAAAGCGATGGGGGTTCCTGGGAGAATACCTACCTACCTACCTACCTACTTATCTACCTATTTCAGAACATCTTACTTCTTCCCCTTTTCTCCTTTCCTTTCCGCAACATGGCACCCAGGAGTGCCATTTACTCACCCTTAGCAGATAAATACAAATGCAGAGGGAAGATAGATACATGACAATTTTAGACCAAATTCTAAGCTAAATGCCAGACCAGGTCTGACAATAGCCACCATTTGTAGCTCTCTTCTTGCAGTTGTGCCTTGTTCACTCACACCTGCAAGGGCCACTGCACAGAGACCCAAATCAGCTTCTTAAATTCTGGGTCAATTAACGCAAAGAGCATCCCCATGGGTGGAGGCTGAACACAGGCATTTCATATGCCAGCAGTGTCGGTGCTCAGTGAAAGCATCCATGTTCATTCACTCTCCACACACCTTTTTCATACTTTGGTGGTGCAGGTAATGGGGAAGATAATTTGCTGCCTCTTAACTTTTCACATCATTGAAGGATTCCTGATATCCTCACCAACAAATCAAGGCAATTTTGGCTGAAACAACAGCCTGGAAAAGCCTGACTTATTTAGATTCCTACATGAAATCAAATCTTGAACTTGAACTTTGAAAAAGGAAGCTTCCCTCCAAATTCTGGTTAATGTTATGAAAGGATTATGCCCTTGCCAACACAGAGTAGTTCTCTTTAGTCAAAGCCAGGTAAGCCAGAGCTGTCAGGATTGCAGCTGGGTCTAGGCTAGGAAGAGTACCTGTAGTCCCTGTAGGGAATCAGGGAGACTGAGACCTTAGGGCAACGCTGGTGATGCAGGTCACTTTGCGGCTTTCCTCTGACTTCACCCTGCTTCTTCTGTGTGTGTTTTTCCTTAAAGCAACCACATAATATCCTGCAGAGGCGCCTGATGGAGACCAATTTATCAAAATTACGAAGCAGCCGGGGCAGCTGGACTCTGAAGAGTGATATCTCAGCACAGAACACCAAGCTGAATCAAACCAAACTGGGCAGCTCTGATAAAACGGAGGACGAGGAACTCATAGTGGTGAGCTGCCAGGTAAAAGTCTCTCCCCAGTCTTCTGGGTTCCCCTCCCCCCCCCCCCCCCCCCAAATTTTATCTTTGACAGCTTCGAGTCATGCTCTTGTTTTCTGAGTTTTCCTGATCAGAGTGGCACTTCACCAGGGCTGTCACAGCTCTGGGGATGCTCTCCCTGTGCAGCTCAGGGTGGGGGGAGTAGCCAGGCTGGGGCAGCGTGCTGAAATGCTGAGGAGTAATTATCCATGGCAAATCTCTGTGCTCACAGGCTATTTGTTTTCCTCAAGTCCCATCCTTCTTTTCTTTCCCCAAAAGCAATTTCACATTTCTTTTCCTTAACACCACACTCCTCTGTGTTGCCTGCTCTGCAGAGTATCCCCTCCTCCCAGGGCTGCCCCTTCTGCTCTCTGCAGGGGCAAATGCTGTGGGGAAGTGCTCAGGACCTGACACCACACTGTTTAGTAGCACTACCTTATTCAAAAAGCAGTTCAAGAGCCAACTCTTAGGTGCCGGTGGACACTGAGCATGCAGTGGAGTGGGGGCTGGCACAAGGAGATGGTGGCATTTAAGCGAGGAGCAGCATGTGCACAGCAGAGACCCTAGACACCCTACACTCATCCTGCATCCCACACATTGTGTCTCATCTCTGCTTGCTCTTGCAGTGCGCAGGAAAGGAGCTGAAGGCTGTGGTGGACACCGGCTCACAGCACAACCTCATGTCTTCTGCCTGCCTGGACAGGCTAGGGTAAATATCCAGCTGGATTCCTGGTTTTCGTGGCACCTGGCAGCACAGGCAGTGCTCCCAGGGCTGGGGTTTCACTCATGCCAGCAATGGCTGCGCTGGAAGGGAGCACTTTGGGCTGTGCCTGAGCAAGCCTCTGAGCCTCCTGTTACAACCAAATCAGGACTTACTGGCTCCAAAGTGCCCTTGCAGGAAGCTGAAATAGAAAGCCACTTGAACCAACCTATTCAGACCCCTGAAGAAATCCCTTCAGAGATGTGGATGCATTTGTACTTTTTTCAAAGCCTGCCTGTTTGTCACTCGGTGCTTTGCAAAACAGCTGAAGCCCATGGCCCTGGGTGTCCCTGAGGCAGGCATGAGGCTGGGTCTGCCCAGACCAACCCTGCAGGTCCCCGCTGCGAGGCAGGGACCCAGCTGCTGGACGCGCTCCTGATGCGGCACTGCAGGCCTCAGCAGTCACATGGTTGTATACAAGTGTATGCTTGAAAATAGCTGTCTGGTGCTACTCCCAGTAACAAATTTCTCCCTGTTGAAGGGGTAGGAAATGCATTTGCATAGTCTTAGAGAGCTGACTGCCAGTCATTTGCAGCAAAAGTCCTCCTAATCTCCAAGGAGCAGGATCAGGCATCAACTCATGGGGTATCTAGGAGATTTTGGCACGTTGTTCCCATGGAGTCACTGGTTTTTTATTGCTGACTTGCAGTGATTATGCAAAAAAAAGAAATTGCAGTTGTTCCCTGAGCACTACTGTGTGGCCCTGAATGAATGGTGTCTGTTTTCTGTCCAGACAGTAATTACTTTTTTGCACAACAGTGTTTCATGGCTGGAAGATGACTGTGCTTGCTACAAACCTGTCTCAAACTGTGGAGCTACTCAGCCTAGTTTATGAATGGTAACAGTGCACGTGGAGGGGTCTCATCCTGCAGGATGCTGTACTGACTGCTTGACGTGACACATCCAAGTCGCACAGCGGTGCTCTGTGAGAGTTTGCTCTCTGTGTTGCTCAAGCGTGTCCTGTGTAGTTTTTGCAATACTGGTCTGATTCAGCAGTCCTGTCCTTCAAAAAGCACTTAAGAAATAGGTTAGAGCCAGCTTCTGCTCTCAAGGGAAATCCCCTCCTGATTTGAGCAAGACCACTTTTGTGGCCGTCAGCCAGGCCGTTGCAGTGAAAAGGCTCATGTCTCTCTCCAGTGTTTCTCATGAGCAACAGGTGAGCTTTGATTCCTGTTAGGTGGGACCCCATGGACACTGGGGTGTGCAGGACCTGCATTGCATGTGCGGGCAGACAGCGTGGCCAGAGCGATACCCCCTCCCAAGGCGCTGTCAGCCGAGGTGTGCAGCAGGCAGGACTGTGTTGCAGGCAGCTTCCTGCAGCTCCTTTGATGTTTGCATTTGCAGGGACAGAAGCTAAAGCCAGATTCACAAAGTGGGATAAAACCAGAGCTTTGATGCCTGCCTTGCTCTGCCGTCACTGTGGTAGGTCCCGTGCGACAACAGGCACCACTCCAGGATGTTTTACTTCAAAGCAGTCCAGTGCGTGTGGCAATGATAAAACACGAGTTTTGTTTAAATCCAGCCCTGGCATGGATGAGCATGCTGAGGGATTTTGCTCTTGTTCCTGCCAGGGCAGGAGGGGCCCCGTAGTGTGCTTTGCTGGGTGCTGCTGCCTGCAGTTGAGGCTCAGGCTTTGCTGCTGATGTCTCAGCACCTAAAGGCAGCATGTTTGTGTGTGCCTGAGGCACAGGCTCAATTCCTCCCTTTTTTTTTTTAAATCTTTTTGCATCTTGTCATGGTGCTGTTGGAGCTCTTGCCCTGGCCTCTGAGGAAAGCGGTAGGGTTAGCTTGCAGGTTGCCTCAGTGTAAGAAATGCCCCGGGGAAGGGTAGGTGCAGCTTTCACAGGAGCAGCTCTGGTCTCTGCACACTGCTGGGGACTTGCTACTTTCAAACCCGACTCCCAGATGTGTCACTGCACCATGCATCAGTGATTCTCCTCACCTCACTGCAGTTTCCTGGCCAGCTTTCAGCCATGCATTGCCCATGTGCTATCTGTCCATCCTTGGGTCAGTCTCAGCTGTGATGAAGTGCTTCCTTGAAGGTGGCTTTACTGTGTACACCCCTGCAGCCTCTCTGCGGTCCTGGTTACGCCTGGGAAAACCATCTCAACCAGTGAGTGCCAGAGCGGGGAGCCAGCTCTGGCTGTATCTTGGCTCTGTTCAGGTCCTGGCTCCAGCACCGCCTGTGACCTGTGGTGAGGACAAATGGGGAAAACAAAGACGGCAGCCAAAGACCACATGTCTTCTCTTGAGTAGACAGAGAAGCCATTGGAGCTGGTTGCAGCCAAAAAAGCCACTCCAACCTGTCTCAGGCCAGAGCAAAGCCAATTCAGGGCCAAGGAGCTCATGGACTACTTCTTGGTACGTTCCCAATGCTTTTTAAGACCAGTCCCTAAGGTAAGAGGCAGAGGGGATCCAACTTCTCTCTGCTACCTGTCCTGGTCCTTGTGCCTGTGCTGAATGGTGCAGGCCCCAGGACCTCTGCGGGGAGCTGGTCCCCCCAGCATGGACAGTCAGACAGACAGGCACACACACTGCTGCAATGCAGCTCAGCAGAAAGGTACCTCAGCTGAAAAACGATACAGCTTTTATCCAAGGCAAACATTCCCATCTCAGACTGCCTTTCCATTAGATTCTCGTTCAGCTTAAAAAAGAAACTGAAGCTGAATAATTAATCACGTTGTCAGACTAGTTCATGGGGCATAAATAGAAAAAACGACTGTACCTGAGATATCCCTGACACCTTTCCTTTTCTCAGGCTGAATGTGATTGATCTGTCCCCATTTCCTCTGGATAAACCCAGCAGCAGCACCTGCTCATAAGCGTGGATCGGGTGTACCACCCCAGCTGTGAGACATGGAGATGGTGTCGGTGGTTCCGCTGGCGGGAGCCAGAGTGGAGTATCCCTTCCTTAGACCCACACTGCATTAGGACCAATTTTAGATCAGCAGCTTCCTCAACACTTGAAGAGATGTAAGAAAAAAGACTCCTTGGGTAAAAAGCAAAATCCAATAAGGAACTCTGCTTGGGGCAAGGGCTGATGTGACCCCAAGGTTGCACCATGGGTCATGCTATGATCTGATGTGGGTGCAGGCTGCTGGCTGTATGCAGAGTGGCACAGAAAACCTGCCAAGAAAGCAGCTAACGATGGGGTGATAATATGAGCAAGCTAAGAGCACTTCAGGTGTAAGTACCCTCCAAACACCTTTTGCTCCTTGCCAGAGCAAACAGTGGCTGTTTCATGTCAGAAGTGTTTTCAATGCGCAGGTTAAAGGAGCATCTCAAGGCACTCCCCGGTGAGGATGAGATGGTTTCGTTGCCGTGCAAGGCGAGGGCGATCGGCCAGATCGAGTGCCTCGCCCTGACAGTGGGAGCGGTCCCTGTGGAGTGCACTGTCCTTGTCGTGGGTGAGTATGTGTGTGCGTGTGCTCCTCTGGTCCTGCGGGTACGGGCTAGGGCTCTACTCCCTTTTGCCCCAGAGGGAAAATGAAGCTTCTGAAACATGTTAAAATTAAAATAGAAATACGCAGAAGTTCCTGTTTGGCCCTTCAGAGAGAGGGAGGGAGGCTGCATTCAGCGCGGCTGTGCTGGCAGCACCAGGGTCGTGCTCTGCTGTGCTGGTGGAGTGACCGCCGTGTCTCCCTGCAGGCGCTTGTTTGCTTGAGTTCGCCTCCGGAGTAACTCAGTCCCTTTATAAACAAGGGTTCATTTAGCAGAACTTTAGCAGAAGGATGGAGTCACTGAACATGGGAGAACATTTTGAATGTATTTATCTGAATGTTCCTATTTTTCAGAAGACAATGACAAGCCCTTCTCCTTTGGACTGCAGACACTGAAATCTCTGAAGGTAGGGATTTTCTAGCAGGGCTTTTACTCACACTGGGGGAGCTGGGACCACTGTGAATTGCAGTTTTCCATCTTACCTAAAGGCATTTATTCTCTGCAGTGTGTGATAAACATGGAGAAGCACCATCTTGTTCTGGGGAAGACGGGCAGGGAAGAAATCCCGTTTGTGGGCAGTGGCAGCGCGGTGGCAGGAGAACAGTAAGTTGGCTGGGGAGGTGAGCTGAGCCTGATGGCAATGCCCTTTGGCACAGCCACGCAGGAGCCCCCAAACCCTCGCTGCAGGCAAGCAAGAGCTTGTCGGCATTGGCAGAAGCTGTTTCTATCAGCTCACTGAATTTTGAAATGGAGCCCTTAGCTTTTTTAGCAGCCTTTTTCTGCTTTTCCTGCTTTTTTTTCCAGTAAGAATTGTACAGCAAAGGGGGTGTCTGAAAAAGACATGTGCAGGGAATGCACATGCCTTAGGAAATGTACTTTTTGGAGGTCACTAGGAGGACTGCTTGAGTGCTGCTTTGAGAGTGTTCCCAAACAAACCTTTTTTCTGGAAAACATTTATGAAGAGAGGCAAATAAACCCACATGAATGTTTTGCAAAGTGCAGGAGAGAGAGATCCAGTCTGGAGATAATGGTGTTGCCACTCCTCCCCACATTGCCCCAGCTGCTCCTGATGTCCCAGACTTTTTCAGCCTTATCTCCCTATAGAAAGAGAAGTCTGTGCTGTTCTCTCTCGTACATCCTAAGCGTGTGTACCTTTTGACAGCTGGCTCTGCAGTCGGGCAGGCAGGAGGCAGGGCGATCCCCCCACTTCCAGACGCTGCATGGGGGCTCCTCCTCGCTGAGCAATGTTAAAAGACACATCACTGGCTCCTGTCTCTGCCTTACGAAACCTGCAGGAGCCTGAGAGGGGGGATTTGCATTTATGTGCCTTTCTGGCTTTGCAGGCAGCGCTTGTGGTTGCTCAGTGATGAGCAATTCAGACACAGCCATCTAAAAAACATTTGCTTGCTGCATAAGAAAGCATCTTTGATGAACTATGTAGGGCAGCATCCTCCTTTAGCTGCCTGCCATGACCAGCCACAGGCATTTTGCACGTCCCTGTGCAGCTTGAGCCTGCTGTGCTGGGCGCTGCCAACCTTGAGGAGCCTGGGCGAGAGCGGGGAAGGAGCAGGCCTTCCTGATTTCATTTACGCTCCTTGGGGAGTACATGAGGGATGTAAGTACTAGTGCAGGGAGTCAGGATGGGAGCGCATGTTCACCCGCTGTGTGCCCAGGGCAGCCGCCAGCCACAGGTACCAGCGGCATGCAAACCTGGGGGGCGGCTGGTACAGCACCACGGGGAGACGGTGCTGCAGTGCAAAACCACAGGATGTTCTCCCTGTCTCCTTTGACACAGGGATGTGACAAGCATAGTGTAGCTCTGTCACCACTGCAGTGATGAATTCATTCCTCCTGCTGCATTCAAGGCCAAAATTTGCTGCTTCCCCCTCCCCCCCCAAGAAAAACGCCTATTTTATGGAATGTCTTTTCCTTTCTGTTTTTGCAGTTTGGAGGCATAAAACGAAATTGAAACACCGTCCCCACACAAGAGCTTGATATCAACAAAACTGTGCAGCTGTTCCAGATGAAACAGCAGTGCGCTGCTTTGGAAACATTTATACCAGGCTACAGCTTGAGTAGAGCTAAATGAAATCCTGTTCAGTAGCCAATAATTTAGAGATATTGTCATGTTTATCTATGGGTTTTGAGAAACAAATGTGTGTTTATTTTCTGGACTTTTCTATATAGTATCCTCTTTATTACGAACAGTTGGGAGAACCTTATGAATTTCTTCTGATGAGAAAAATACCTTTTATAGTGGCCTCATATGAGTAATTGTATTTAGCTGTGATTAGAGGCTATCAGAATGAAATTTTTATTAATGATTTTTTCAGGGGCTAAGCATTTGTATTCACTTAATTGATATTGCCACATTCAAATGGCCATTACCAGGAAGTTACTCAGAGTAAAATAGCAATGCTAATACCACCTAGGAATTATAGCTCATCCTGTTAGCATAGTATTGTTGCCATGTAATTAGGGATGCAACCAGTGGCTTGATGAGAAGGAGCAATTACAGAATTATTCATGGGTTACAGGCTTCTCTACAGTGGCATGGCAGCACAGAAACAGAGTTTGGGAGAGCTGCCAGGGTGATCTCCCACAGCCCCCAGCTCACGGAGGCTTGAAGCCCCCCGAGGAGGGAACCTCCAGGCAGCTCTCAGCTGCCCTCCTAGTAGAGTAGTCAGGAAAATTAATCATCCTATTGAGCCAAAAAGCAACAAACAAGCACAAAAGTATGTTGTCCAGAAAGCAGCAGACACAGAGCCTCATTGGTAAATCAGGAATCAAATGTCCTCAACGCACCCTCAGCTGTCTCCTGCCACCAGGACTGGTGCCTCTGCCGGCCCGCCCAGCACCAGCAGCACCGGACTCCACACCGGTGTGGGTTATCGACTCCAGTTGGACTTCAATGTTGCTGCCAGAAATGCCATATTTTTTATATCTATTTACAAATTGCCTGGGATCTTAAGTACAACAGTCACCTTGATCACCCTCAGGCCAGGTGGGAATTTTCACCAGGACAAAAATTTCATTTGGTGTCAGTGTCCTGCAGCAGGAAGGTTGCTATTTCACGTGCTGCTCGCTTGCAGACCAGAACAAACGTGTGGTTATTGCCTGTGGGAGCCTCGCCTTGTATAAAAGCAGCTTTCTAGATTTTTAAAAGCTAATAGGAATTAATTAGTGTCATCTGCTGAAGAGGCATCTTTAAAATTCAGAATGATATCCTTGTGATGTTCTGCATGTGCTGACGCAGCTGGATGGGCAAGGGTCAGCGTGTGCTGCGGGAGCGGGAGCACCGCTCCGGCAGCTCTTACCTAGCAAAAGCCCTTTGGCCCCAGGCAGGCGCAGGCTGCAGTGCAGCTCAGCCGGGCTGCGAGGTCTCCCACAGGGATCCACGCAGCTGCTCATGTGCTTGAGCCTCCCTGCAGACATTGATGTACTGCATGCCCAGGCTGCCCGCGGTGCTCAGCGTGAGCCACCGGCACCGACGTTGTCACCGGCATTTCCACTTAGGAAATGTCCCAGCAGTCCTAGGCAAGGACCAGTAACTCTTGTCACCTCGTGGCCATTGGCTCAGGTCTGGAGCCTGTCCTGCGAGCAAGGCTCCTGCCAACTTTACCCAGTCTGTGCCCAGTAACACCATCCCATGCCTGCCATGGCATCTAAGCTGGAGCTTTATCTCCTGTGCCGATTTGAACCTCTTTTCAATATTGGTATGACTAGTGAATCTGAACTATCTGTATTTTGAGCTATTTTCTATTTTGGTGATAAGTTTCCGTGCTTTCTCTACATACAGTATTTTATATAACACAACTATATATATATATATTTACAGAGTTGGGCTGCCCAGGGCAGTCCCACCAACGTGCTGTAGAAATATTTCTCTAAAGAAGAGATATATTTGATTGATTATTTTATATGCTATGAGTTTGGTATTTTGGTACTGCTTTCTTTCTGTGCTTATTACCGTGCTAAATGTAAAATTAAATCTAAATAAAGTTTAACTGTAAGTGCTGTTTATTTGCTTGTATCCTGGATATGTCACTTATTTGTTTTCAGGGTACTTCTCTATTGAGAGCAGGAGTTCATTTCAGTCTTCACCCTGGTGGGACTCCACAGTGCATTTGTGCTTCTGACAGGAATTGCTATCTGACTGTACGGAGAGCGACAGCAGAGACACGCTAACCAGGCGCAGGCTAAATGGGACACGGCACTTGTGGTAAAATGTGAGCATTTGAAATCCCAGCTCTTTATTGCTGTGCATTTACCTCCCAAAGGAGGTGTGAGATCCAGCATGTGCTGCTTTGAGATTTACCCTTTGGAAAGATGAACTTGTTTCCGCTGTGCTTGGCTAGCTCGCTGGAGCAATGCCAGCCAGTGCAGGGGAATGTGAGGGAGACTTTGAAAATTTTATGAAGCTAGGAAAAGAAAGTGGTTAGAGCAAAAGACAAGTAAGTCATGTGTGCAATAGCTGTAACAGAGTCAGAAGAGCAGAAACTTTGAGATCAGCATCTTCCCCAAACCTTTGCACATGGATTTACAGGTTTACTGTCTCTGCCAAGATAGGCTTTTGGCTGCTTCAGCAGTAGCTGGTCTCCCTCTGATGAGAAATGATCTTTCTACTTGCACAAAGCCCCGCAGCAAAAACCTTTGGTGGAGCAGCAGTACCCCAAGCCCAGTGAAAGTGGCTTTCCTCAGGGCCGGGCTGCCTTTCTATGAGTGCAGAAAGAAATCGAACTCCAGCAATAAATTGGAGAACAAATGAGGAGGATAAATGTACAGGCAAAAATATCTCCTCATGCTTCCTGGAGCTGCTACAGGTTTCTAGACTCGATCAGACTATTCCTGATGCTAGAGAGCAGAGTCCTAGCACATGCAAATGGAAAATAAATGGGCAAAATTTCATTCCTTCAGTGCAGAGTGGGGCTAGCCCTGGCGCTGGTGACCTTCCAGCAGTGGCTGCTGTGAGCAAGGTGCTATGTCAGACAGGACAGCTGCTATAGGAGACAAGCGCTAGACTGCTACATGGGCAGTAGCATTGGATCCCTGTATCTATGCAAGCACTTACATGGCCACAGAGGTAAAGGGTAAAGAGGCTGGGTGCTGCAGACCAGCTCAGCAAGCCCTGGGTGCTTGCTTCTGCTTACCATCAGCATAGACCTGTGCCTATGCAGCTTTGGCAACCTCTCCCCCTCACAGGTTTGCAGGAAGCCCGGGCATGGCTCTGCAACCAAGGGACCCACTGCCTCAGTGCATGGCTGGGGGCAGAGAAGAGGGCAACACCTGAAATTATCTGGGACAGGAAAGACCGAGGAGATAAAAAGGCAGCCACAAGTGGGCGTTATGAGAAGCTCCTGAGGTAGTGGAGGGTTTTGTTGAACGATTTATGGCCCGGCTGGCAAATGCTGACACTCTCCAAACAAATAGGTGAGGACAAGCACAATGCCAACCTCCAAACAGCCTAAGGGAAAGTGAGACAGCTGCTCCTTGGCCAACGGACTCCTCAGCACTGTCACTTGTGCTCATGTACTCAGCAAAGCACGGTGGGATGAGACACCTTCAATCCCCAGTGTCTTCTCTTCATTTCGGTCATGCCTAAAGTAGAAATGAAGCATGCAAAAGAGGAAGACGTTAACAGGAGCCTTAGTGGGTCCACCAAGGCATTTCAGAAGCTGATGGAACATGCAGGATCCTGATGCTTGTTCTCCTGCAATTAAGATAGCCCATGTGATTAAGGTATTGATCCTTGCTGAAAACTTTAGAGATTGGAGCAGCTGGTCTCCTCCTTCTCCTCTGTTAACAACCACATTGCTGACGAAAGGCTACAGACTCTGGATTTGGCGCTGTAAGTATTGGTGACATTTCACTAGAGATGGCATTGCTGGAAAGGCAGTTGATTTAAATTTTTTGTTACTAGAGTGGTGCTGTCACCATTTCCCCAGGATGAGACTTTATCATTCTTAAAGTGGGTGTGAAGCCAGTCAACTACCTAAAAATATCAGGAGTTCAAGAATAACAGGAAGCCATTGCACTGGGAGAACCCGCTGGGGGTGGGTAGGGGACACTGCAGGGTCTTCCTTTCCTTCATTCTTTCTTTTTTTAAATGTGGCAAGATCGATGCCTGGGGTTCATGAGAGACTAATTGGCACAGTGGCTGGCCTTGGTGTGAGATGCAGTTGGACTTTCCAGAAAAGCATCTCAGCTCGCAGAAGGGGAAGAGGTGCAGAGCTATGTGCTCATTAAAGGTAAAACTGCTGATTATCCTAGAAACAGGTGGCGTATCTGCAGAAGGCGGGGAGCTCTTAATGCTGCTTCACCCCTGCATGCCTTGCCTCTGCTGTCCACATGTCCTCCCCTTGGCATTGATTTACTGCTCACCTCTTTTCACCTCTTTCTCAAAGACTTGTGGAAATAAAACAACCCTTCTCCCTGCAGTGGACGTGCAGACACTGCAACTGCAGCTGAGGAAACAGCCACTGCCCCAAGGTGCCTCTGCGAGGGGTACAGTACCTGTGGGGCTGGCACAGCCTCCAATGGCCTTGTGCCCTGTGCTGTGGTGTCCAGCAGCTCGGTGCTGCTGTTTGTGTCTGGCCAGGCCAGGCTGGCCTGTGCTGCAGCCACAGGGACTGTGATGTGGCGTGGTGGGCTGCAGCTGCAGTGTCCTCATGCTCTGGCCAGACAGCAGCCCCCTTGGTGACATAGAGGGTGCACAAACCTGGTGCCCGAGCTTGGTGGCAGAAGAAAGGCCACGGTTGCTCGTCTCAAAGGATGACAAACTAAGAAAGGGCTGCCAGGAAGACTGGACCAAGAGACCCAGCCAGCTAAAAACTCTTCACTGTGAGGAGATGGTAGGCAGGACTAAGTTACCTGTTACCTGCAAGCCCATGGTCCACAGCTGGCCACCGCATTTTCCAGGTGTGGCCAGCTGGGAAGCATCTCTGCAGGCAAAGACAAC